CCAAGTTAACGGTTTTTAGTATCAGTAACCTCTCAAACTTCTCCTAATTAAAGTTGTCATCATTTGCTTCCCTCCAATTTTGCAAGTCAAAACCCAATTCGTTATTCTTCCAAACCGGGTTTGGGGGGCAAATTGTTTGGGTCCAATTTATCCTCCATTGGGCCTGGTCCACAAATGATACAATTCAAAGCCCAAAAGGAAGGTTCAACTCTCCAGCCCAATGTCAAGTTAGTCAAAGGTTCAATCCAAGTGGCAAGCCCACTTGACTCCAAGGGCCCAAGCCCCATTGTTGAGCAAAGGTATAAAAGTTGGCCTTCATCTATTTTTACATCCATCCACAATCAGCCTCAAGCACAAAATCTCTTGCATAGCTCATTCTCTGTCTCTTAAAGTACCATACTGATTTCGGCATCGGAGGGGCCTTCCTCGGCACAACCCCCGAGGCCAGTTTTACGTGCTCTGTGCTGTGCAGGAAACCCTGGGCTCCAGCATTCTTCGGACCGAGACTCGTCATCTCCACCCTGAAAAGGCCTGCCGAAGGCCCTATTGTTTTCATATCGAAACATAATATATGACTTGAATTGGAGTCATGGGACTATGCCAAAGGTTTCATGGATCCCAATCAAGCTAGAAGATGATTTTAGCTGATATATATTGCAAATTGATCTACATTGTAAAATTAATCGAAGACTTTGAACAGTATGTCTGAACACAATTTACAGGGAAGAAATTTTGGTAGATAGGGATTTGATCTAGGGGGGCTGCCTAGGCCATTGCCTGCCCATCACTAAAACAACTTACTACGGAGTATAACCTATCATATACTTTATTGATCTAACAAGCAACAATCTACTGTAACTACTAACTAAACCAGTTAATCAGCTCGATTGGGTAGGGTTCGACAGGTAGGTTCATTTTGAGTCGGTTTAATACTGGTCATGGGTTGAGAAATGTTCAAACCGAATCCATTGTTTTGGGTTCTAGTCAACAAAACCTGATTAAGAATTACTTTTTGATTTAATTTTCTTTGGAAAACTTGACTTTAATTAACAAAAAAAAAAACACAAAATTGTTTTTTACCGCCAAATCCTCTACAAATTGTATTTTACAACAAAAAAAAACTAAAATTGTTTTCCATCACCTACTATCAAAAAACCGTTAAATATAACTTTTTATGAACCTTTATTTTAGTTTCGTGCTAAAAAATGTTGTTTAGAGGTTTGGGGTCATTTTGGTCCTTAGGGATTTCATTTGAGGTTAAAATTGACAAAAAATTATTGCAAATGCAAAATAAGTCGAATATTTAGGAATTAAGACAATATATATAAGATGTTATCCGATCCTCTCAAAGAAAAATAATATTAATAAATGAAGAAATATTATTGATCGCGCACAGCAGCACGCGATGCACAATATCCAAATATAGCTAGTTTTACATTTAAATTTAATTAAAGGATTCGACAAACTTACCATATTTTAAACATAGTGACCCTAACATAAAATATATTAACCTTAATTTTAAGAGAGTAACCTTCATTAAACCTTGTGTGACCTTTAATATTATTGCGAACTTGAAGTAGGACGTTATGTTGAACAATTCTAATTTTAACATAGTGATGTTTATTATTCATATTGATCAATATTCTAAAAAATTCATTAAAAAAATTAACCTCTGATAACCTTTATAAAAGCATAATGACTTTTATTTTAACATAATAACCTTTATTTTAACATAGTGACATTTAGTTTAATTGTTAGTCCCTTCGTTTCTAAATAATTGACACACTTTCCTTTTTTGTTCGTTTCTGAATATTTAACACATTATTAAAAATAACAAGGATCCACTACTATTTAATTATTTTTTTATCTTACACAATAACCCACCACTTTTAAGGTTTACATTAAAACAATGCTCACCCACACTCAAACAACCACATTAACTTCACTTTACAATGACCCACTATTTCTATGAATAAAATAATATTTCATTAACTTCACTTTACAGTAGACAATTCAATAAAATTGCCCCGCTTACTACTCAAAAATTTCTTAAGCTCTGTACCCATTTCAAAAACCGACCTAATAAATTAACAAGATTGATTTAACCTAGACTTGACTAGTATTTAGCTTACCTCTACAGAAGCGGACTATATTTTAAGTCGTTCTAGGTCAATTCATCATGAGCCTTATTAGTCGATCCAATCCATTAAACTTAAGCTTTAATATACATTATTAGTCCTAGACATTTCGAGGTTCATCAAAGGTTCAAATCATACATGATAAAATGTACTTCCTCTATTTTTTAGTTGCACCATTAATGCCAATATATTGCTTTTGCCATTAACATCTTTAATTATGATTGATTAAAAGTTATGAAAGGTGATATTTTAAATTTGACATTAAGATGAATCTAAATAAATCCTACATGACTATGTTTTTCCTTATGTACAAATCACAAAAGATAATTAATTAAAGGAGATTGGTTGTATTTGCATTTGGTCCCACGACGAACCACCGGTGACTATGACTTATGTTAGAGGTTAATCTATAAAAATCTAGATATGGTATAAAAATCTAGTGTATAGATTAAAAAAATCTAGAATGAAGTAGGAAAATCAAGAGAGGTTTAGAAAAATATTGTAAAATATCTAAGATGAGTGATGTAGAAAAATCTAGATACATGTAATATGAGATAAATGTAGAAAAATCTAGAAAGTGGGAAAACACCACTATAAATATGTTATGTGTGCATGAGTAAGAAGTGAGCTAATCATGAGCTCCACCAATGGTTGATAGAAATTAAGGGTTTTATCAAGAGAGTGAGAGACATGAGCTGAAGAAATAAAATTGGGTTAGTTGGTAAAATGGGTACCAATATAAAAGATTAATAATATAGAATATGAAGCAAATCAAGAAATGGTTGGTGACATGGGCATCAACGTTCATAGTAAGGAAAACTTCAAAAAAATCAAGTTTAGAGATCATTGAAGAAAGAAGTATCAACGGAGTTTTTCAACAAAGATTTTTCAAGAACAAGAGGGAGTGATAAAGGTTAATCTAGAAAAATCTAGATGTGGTATGAAAAATCTAGTGTGTAGATTAGAAAAAACTAGAATGAAGTAGGAAAATCAAGAGAGGTTTAGAAAAATCTTGTAAAATATCTAAGATGAGTGATGTAGAAAAATCTAGAAAGTGGAAAAACACCACTATAAATATGGTATGTGTGCATGAGTAAGAAATGAGCTAATCATGAGCTCCACCAATGGTTGATAGAAAATAAGAGTTCTATCAAGGGAGTAAGAGACATGAGCTCTCACAAATATGTTTGTACAATTTATGATGAAATTTATGAAATCATAAAATTGTTATATGATATTTAGGTCCATTAAACTTCCACGTGCGCCCAAATTCTATCACCTTACTAGCAAATAAATATCTTGGTTCCACAAGACATAATCCTATGGATTTTGTCTTAAATTAATGAACTGTCCAAATAATTTTGCAAATCATCAAATTTACATACCAGCTAGCTTGATGGCATGAATGAAACCAATCTCGATTCTACTTCAGAAGACTAAAGGGGTTCTATCTCAAAATCCTATGGTTGTAGCTAAGAGGATTAGTCCCTTTACCATAATGTGCTTAATTCTCTCCATTTTTATTTTTATTTATTTTATTTTATTTTTTATTTTATTTTTTGTTGTTGTTGTTTTTTGGCAATGCAGAACTATACACTCACTTGTATTGTTATAGAGGATTATGGTTCAACACTCCCCCTCAATATGAGCTTTATTTTTAATTCGGTCACATGTGACGTTTTATGGGGCTCGAGTGTGTTTTCAATAACCCTTGAGTGTGAATTGTTGTAGATAGATGGAAGGTTAGTACTACATATATGGAAAGAGAAAATCTCTGTTTCTCACCGTGAGAAACAGAAGCGTTTCTCACGATGGCATTTCTGTAATAAAAATTAATGTATTTCACTTACTGGGATGCTGACTCGGATGCGCCTATGTGGCATTTTGCTGAGTGGACGCTGAGTGGGGACATTGTGAGAACGGGATTCGCCTATGTTATGTTACAGATTTCGGTGTTTAGGCGGGATACTATTCACACATCACATCAGTTGAACAGTTGAATTAGCAGGTACTATCTTCGTCCAGTCGCTTCGCTTCTTCTAGTGCATTCTTGCAGGTACTATCTTCGGGAATTCACACATCTTCAAACATCTTCGAGTTGAACAGCTTCCCATAACACTATTTCCAGATCCAGTTGAATTAGCAGGTAATTATGATGTTACAGAGCTCATAATTGCGACCGAATTCAGAATTATTTTGAACGTAATGGTATAATGAGGTTAATGCCTTTTTATTATTGCGGCCGAATGATTTTGTTGAAAATGCAATTTATACTTGTTGATAATGTGTTGTCTTCGTATGCTTTGAACAAATCCCTCTGTTAATGCCTCTGTTAATTTTTGAAAATTGGTTGTTTTACTTTGTTAGTTGTTCAACTGGTTGATTGATTTGTGTCGGTTGGTTGTATTTCTGTGTTGGGTTGAATTTGTGCTGTGAAAACGTGTTTGATCAACTGGTTTAATTTGTATTGTAAATTATGTTGGTGTTCTGTATTAATTTGTATTGTTCTGTATTTGAAGGGTGAATTGTTTTTGATGGAGAAGACTGGTATCATGACTGATATTATGGAAATGGAAACTGAAGGCGTTATTAGGGGCAGTGAGGTTGGTGTTGGTGATTGTGGGAGTGTCGTTAAATTTAGGAGTAACGTTGATATAGAGGAGGAGGGCAATGACATGGAGGGTATAGAAGACATAGTTGTTGCAGATAGTTGTGATGAGGGTGTTGGTGTAGTTGGTGTAGTTGGTGCAGTTGACATGAATGTAAATGTTAGGTATTTATCCCCCGTGAAAACAATTCATACGACTCACACTGTGGTTGGTAGCAACGAAATGCGTGTAATTGTTGGAGCCTAAGGAAGGGATGGTCTTCCGGTCTTGGCAAGAGGTTGAAGCCTACTATAAGGAGTATGCTGAGCAGATGGGGTTTGGAGTGTCAAGGGTTCAAGGCGTAAATTCTAAGACGGCGGACAAACAAAGAATTGCAAGCACGTGGAGGTGTGAGTGTTGGGGTAAACCCGACATGAGGGCTAGGAGGGAAGCGAAGAAGAGGGCAAAGGCAATGGTTATTGGAGGTTCAGGTGGTTTAGTTGATGGGGTGGTATGTGAGGATGAGTTAAGTCGTAGGAAGAGGACTTCAAAAAAGTGTGAATGTGAGGCCCGTGTTTATGCTAGAGTGAATGAAGATGGCATGTGGGTGTTGAAGACAGTGCACTTAAAGCATAATCACAAGATTGATCCGGCAAATTCTAAGCTTGTGAAGGAGTACCGCTTGAAGCAAATGACCTCAACAGTGAATAAGAAGCTGATGGATTTCTATGAGCAAGGTGTACCAATTTCTCAAATACACGGTTGCATGGCGACCAAACGAAACGGTAACATGGCTCTCACCGTCAAAGATTTACAACATGAGGTGTACAAGGCTAGGCGGTTGAAGATGGTTGGAGGGGACTCGGTGGCAATGATGGAGTACTTTGAAAAAATGCAATCCGGCAACCAAAATTTTTTCCATGCTCAACGTTTGGATGAAGAAGGGAGGCTTAAGGATGTGTTGTGGGTGGATGCAAGAACTAGGGTAGCTTATGAGGACTTTGGTGATGCGGTTTGCTTCGACGCAACATACCTAACAAATGAGTACGAGCTCCCATTTGCGAACTTTGTTGGTGTTAACCACCATGGGCAATCGTTGTTGTTGGGATGTGCTCTTGTTTCACATGAAGACTGCGATACGTTTGCGTGGATATTTCGACAGTGGCTAGCTTGCATGAACAACCGAGCTCCTAAAGCCATTTTGACCGACCAAGCGGCAGCTATGCGGATGCCCCTAGCTGAAGTCATGCCAAACACGGTTCATCGTTGGTGCCTATGGCATATCATGAGCAAGATCCCTGAGAAACTTGGCAAGTGTGCACTGTATGTTGTGTATAAATTATGTTATACAAATCTGCACATAAATGTAAATTTGCTATGTTGTAAATCTGCACAAATCTCAAGGTCTTGAGATCAGTTTCATAGGACGAATAAACAGAATCACTTATGTAAAAAAAGGCCTTGAAATTCAAGGCAAAGATGAGAGACAGGCTATTGACTTTTCAACAGATTGTAAAATTATGAGTTAAACTGCTGTTCTGATGTTATGGACTCTAAAGTTGCTCATTTTTGTCTAGTTACCAAGAGTTCATAAACCCCCTCAAAGAGCTGGTGTATGAGAGCTTTAACCCTGAGGAGTTCCAAACCCGATGGGCAGAGTTTATAGCCGAGTATAAGTTGGAGGACAATGAATGGCTACAGAGCCTACACAAAGAGAGTCGTATGTGGGTGCCTGCTTACATGAAAGAGTTTTTTTGGGCTGGTATGAAGACCACACAAAGGGTGGAGAGCATCAATCGGTTTTTCGATGGCTATGTTAACCGCAAAACCAAGCTACATGAGTTTCCTCAAAAGTATTGCATGGCCTTGGATCAATGCATTCGAGATGAAGTGAGTGCAGATGAGCGTTTGCTCGAAGTACCTTAGGAGGTTGGTTAGTGGCTTCAAAGTGGAAAAAATATTTAAAAAGTTGTACACGGACAACAAGTTTCAAGAAGTTCAAAAGGAGTGTACGAGAATGATGTATTGCAACGTCCGAGGAGAGAAGGTTTTGTCTGAAAACCTTATTCAGTATTCGGTGGTCGATCGTGTATGGATAGTACCTCCCAGTGCTAGTGAGGATGTCATTATAGATAGGCGACAAACCTACAATGTTACTTTCTTTCCAATGACAAAGGAGGTGCAATGTGACTGTAGGAAGTTTGAGACAAGTGGCATACTTTGCAAACACTGTATTAGGATTCTCGATGAAAACTTGGTTGAAGATCTGCTAGAGAAGTACATTGTAGCCCGTTGGCGGAAGGACATACCCCGGAAGCACACTAGGGTGAAGGTGGCCTACCATGATCCGGGCGACACGGTCACTGTGAAGAGATTCAACAAAATGATGGTTAAATTCGAGCCCTTATGTGAAACCGCCGCCATGGTGGATGATCAAACGGTCCATATGGTAATGAAACACTGTCGAAGCTTCAATTAGCTGTTAATGACCGTAGGGACAAGAAGAGTCAGGAGAATGTTCCTGTAGTTAGTACACTATCATCAGCAGGTGAAGATAGAACGATTTCCTCAGTTGGGAATCCTGCTCCTACTGCTCCTGCAGAGCCCGGAGACCCCTGTCCAGCTGCCATGGACCAAGTTCTCAAAGACCCTATAATTAAGAAACGGAAAAGGGGCAGGCCTAAGGGTTCAAGGCACAAAACGTTAGCTAAAACTGGCTACAAGAACAAGAAAACCAACAAGAATAAGAAGCCTAGTCCTGTTAAGATTTATGCTTTGTTCTTTGTTCAATAACTGCTTATCCTGTTATTATTCTATTCACTCTCTGACTGCTGTTATTATTCTTTAGGACGCAGGAGATGATGTTGGTGTTGAGGAGGATGCAGGAAATGGTGTCGAGGAGGATGCAGGGAACGGTGTTGAGGAAGAAATGGTGTTGCAGGAAATGGTGTTGAGGAGGATGCAGGAAAAGGCAGGAATGGGAGAACCAGTTAAGACAAAGGGGAAGACCAAGGGGATGGCAAAGGGGAAGGGCATTCCAGTCAAGGGGAAGTCAAATACGTCTTCTCAAAAGCTACCTGTAAGTATGAAGGACCAAATTTATGTCATTCTACTTCCAGTGATTATTTATATCACATCTAACTAATGGCCGCTGAGTGACCATTTAAGTTTGCTGCACATCACAGGTGAAGCAAAAACGTCTTGATGAAAATGATGAGTGAGTCATGTTTAAATATGAAGAGTCTGAGCATAGAAGAAACAAAATCTTTTGTCCAAGCGTATGAAGACCAGGCTCTTAAGATGAGTTTCAAGGAAAAAGATTGAATAAACTAATTAATTTCAAAGTTTTGAGATTCAACTCAAAGCTTGTAAGTTAAACTGGAATGTGATCATAAGCATTTGAAACATGTGAAACAAAAGCAACAATGTGTTGTTAAAAGAAAGTTTATCGGGTTAGATGTTCAAAATAAGTGGCTCGATTACAAATGTAGTGACAAACCCTAAAAGCAACTAAAATGGAGAATAAACTTAGAAAAATGCTTTTACATTAGCAGCTTCTCACAGATCTTCTCACTAGACAGAACATCCTTCACCATCAGCAGGCAGCATGCACGCACTTGTTACTAGTCTTCACTGTAACTAGAAACCTGTTTTCCAACATTCAAATTAAAGGATTAGTGAGTTAATTAAGTAACCTAATAATATGATTTTTTAGACAACACATTGAGGAAGTTCAACCTCAATTGCTTTAACGGTGCCAATAATACGATCATCATCATTCGAGTCATCAGCAGCTATCAGCATGGTCGACTCCACCCTATGAGGATCGTAAAACACCACGGTCCCTCCGAGCAAACCTCCACCCGCGTCATGCCGCCAGGACATAGTTGTGCCTAGTTTCGCTAGGATCCTTTCACAATTGGTGGAAGTTGCCCCCACCTCTGTCACTATCATCAGAATTGGGTTATGGGTTGCAACAATTTGTTCAAAGTGGTCGATAAAGGATGGACGGGTGATCCTCCGACCATTCCAAAGCACAACAGCAGCTCCAATGTCCAGTTTTTCATCGTTACCATCTAGCTCCGGACGAAGGGCGACAGTATGGTAGCGGCTTGTCAGGTCATATGGGATGAACTGCCCCCTAGACACGGTGTAATTGATCTCCGTGATAGGAGACCTCACCTAAACAGATGTTGTGAGCATGCCATGTTAACTCAGCAATCTTATGAATGGGCCACTTATCATCGTTTATCACAATCATGAGTCATGGTAAGTGAAGATGTTTTTGTTTACTTATGAATGATGGAAGTCAAACCCATGTTGCAATGTTATATTATGTTATGTTCCAGGCTGATGATAGTGGACTTTGCTTTTATTTCTATTTAAGTGAATTAGTTTCTTCCGCCTTGAAACTAATTGAAACTAATTTCAAGCCCTTGAGATTTATAATTTTCGACAAGCTCCGCTATTCCGGAACTTAAAATTATTATGATGAACTTAAAAATAGAATTAATCAAGCAACCCGACTACAATTGGCTAAATCAGTCTACTTCGGTACTACCATCCAAACTTAAATGTTATATTTTGCTCAAAACCCGGTAATCGATAATGGAACAAAAATTGGCATCAAGTAAATGCACTTAAAATTTACGTCTGAGGGAGGCCCAAAAAATTAAATTAGGTCATATTGCAGGCAAAAATTACGGTAAAATTAGACGAGACGAGGGTACGTATGTATGTTACCTGCAAGAACAGAACATCATCCGTGTAGCTGCCGAAATCGGCTTTGACGCCAGCCAGTCCGAGGGAGTATATAGGGCCAGTCGTTGGGATTCTTGGCTTCGGGTCTATCTTGTCCATCAACAATTTCGGAATGATTTTGGTTTTACCCTCCTACTCGACATTATCATGTTTTCCCAGCTCATGAATGGCAGCTTGCACCTCCGGTTTCGCAACGACATCAACAAAGTTGGGTAAGTGAGCCGGAAAAATCTCACGAGCCTCATTGACCATCATCATCCTGTCCATGCGGTGCTGCTCTTCTTTAGGGTTGGCGACAATTTTCCTCATAATATCGTATCCAATGACATGCAAGGTCAAATTTCCTCTTTGGCTATGAAAATAGACATAGTCATTGAAGTTCATTTCTTGTACAGGGTTTGTGTTGTACTTGAAACAGTATTTGATGTTATCAGTCGCCGTAGCCGCGAAGAACCCAGGTGGATAAGGCACTTCTTGGTTAGGTTCCATGGTGGGAAAGAAGAAAAGAGAACAGAGGGTAGGTGTTTCTAAGAAAAAAAAAAATTTCAATGATATCATAGGGGCCAAACAAGTTCACTGCTCGTTGTCAACTTCACTAATTGACTAGTGCCATAAGTTGGATAAGTTCAGTGTTGTTGAACAGGAGTCCGACTGACCTACACTTTGAAGACTTGAGTTGTCATTGTCAATAGCCGCCCGACTGACACATGACAACTCAAGTCCAATAGCAGTCCGACTGACCTTTGGCATTGAGTTGGTCATTGTCAATAAGGTGAATTACCGTGTCCTTTTACCATGTCCTTTTACTTGAATCGCGTGAACTAAGGTGAATTAACGTGGTGAATAAGTGAACCCGTGTCCTTTTACCACGTCAAATATCTTACACACTCAATCGTGAATCGTATCTCCAGTGTTGGTAGTGCAATTGTGACACGTACAATGATAATTACTGTACGAGAGCACATTGTATATGTGTAACAATAATATATTAAATGGGTTAAAAGTTGCATAACCTTAGTATATATTATTTAATGGGTTATAAGTTGCATAACCTTAGTGTATATTAAATGGGTTAATTGAAATGGGCGAGCCCCAGTTACTCACGAGGAGAAACGAGTTTTGTTTCTCTAGTGGCAGTTTCGAAATTACTTCCAACTTTTTTCCTTTCTGAGCTTCTGAGTAGGCATGCTTAGTTGGCTATCATGTGGAATGGCGTTAATTTCGATTCAAACGTTTTCAGTTAAGCTTCTCCTCCCCGTAAAATAATTTTACAAAAAAAAAAAAAAAAGCTTATCCTCTCTCCGTTAATGGTGAATCCTCTTAAAATATTTTGTTTTTTTTAAAAAGAAAGCTTATCCTTTAAAAAAAATGCTTTACAGAATAAGTAATAGCTATTTACATGCAATTCATACAGGTTAAAACCAACGGTTATAAATGATGAGTCGCCTATCTACTTCCTCCTTGTTATCTTTTGCAGGTACGTAGGTAATGAATACATGCATATAGCTACCTACTGCCTGCATTTCAGAAAGGCCAAATCACTCAAAATCCCCCAAATTATGGATCTTAGACAATAATTTCCCATGTTAAGTTAAACTTTGTTAATTTATCTTTTTACATCTCACATGCCTGAAGCACGAGTCCGAGCTTGTTAATTTATCTTTTTATCTTTTTACATCTCACATGGCTGAAGCAGTCAATTTTCTTTTGGGCGCCATTGATGAAGGAAAGGAAATAAATTTCCAAGAAAGTGAGAAAGATGAGTTTAGAGAGAGAAAATATCAGAAATTTTGGAGCAGGGATGAAGAGAAAAAGTGACGGCTGACAGACAAAGTGAAAAGAAGTGGGAAGGTGAAAAGGGTAGAGGTGAAACGATGTGATGTAGGCTGACAGACAAAAATTTCCCAGTTGACTGAGTTACCCTAAGCCATTAGTTTTTTTTATGTTACAGTTTCATATACAACAAATATTAAAGCCAAAATACTTATCTTCGCCATAAAACAGTTCAACTTTATCATGAACAAAATTTATATATCTATGTAACATTTTATCTACTTGCAATAAGAAACCGTTAAATTTTGTCAAAGTGATTTCACCTTGGATAAATTATTATTGTCAAACAAAACAACCTAATATCCACATCAAAAATCTAAAATAACTTGTTA